GGAGTTCCCTTCCTTGGAGTTGGACATTTTTAACCCGTACAAACTGCGCCTGGAAGACGGAGAGACGCGTTGGGAAGCAGCGAAGTCGCCGCACTCTGCTCACATCTCGATGGCATTGGAATGCGAGGCGCCCGCACGCGGCGTCAAACTGCAAAACCACAACTCTTCCTTTAGATCCTTCCAAAATAAAAGCTTTTCTTATAGTTCTGCATTCGATTTGTACGGAGCTAAATTGGGGCCATGAAGTTTATTAAGCGTAATAATAATTTTTAACTAAGAAAAATGAGATTTGAAAAAAAATGGTTGAAAACTGTTTTTCAGATTAAATTTTTTTTCACTTTTGATTTTTGTTTTTTCAGATTCAGATGGTACAAAATATATCCCATTATCCAAAATTATCCAAAGTTGAACACAACATAGCTTTGACGTTATCTTTAATATTCAGATAACCGGACACCAAAGCTTAGCAGCATAGCATATTTTACTTTGAAGTTCAGACTTCCAAATCTGAAAAGTATCAGAGATAAAATTAGTATGCAAATTTATATTTTTGATCATCTGATTATATAATTTTGTTCAAACTAAATCTGATGTTGTGAATGAGAAATATTTACTCAGAAGGAAGAATATATGTTTACAAAAGCTTTATAGTAATAAACTGTAAAAGATATCGGACCTTTCTAAATAATCTATTTTTTTAGACGCGAGGCTTTGTTCCAGTGCATAGCTACTCATTTAAATAAACCACATGTTTAAAGTGTATGACTATTGCAGTAAATTATGACTGACATGCTATTATTATGTGGTTAGTGAGGGGGGAAGTCACTTTATGTAGGTCAGAAGAGTAATGGCTCACGGCTGTTTTAGTGTTTTGTTTTCATTCCATTTTATTTTCTTTTTAATATGTCATTAATTGTATTTTATTTTGCATTGTAATAATATCTACTGCTGGAATCAGAATAATGACAGACAGCCACTAGGGGACGCCCAAGACAACTCGCAACTTTGGATCGATCTTTACCAAACTGTTTTGTCTCATCACTATTTTATGCTAAGGTTCTTCTGCTTTTCAGACTCATATTTTGTGCATTATTTCATTCTGTGTGTTTCTTTCGCAGCACATCCCTAAGTCAGAAATACAGGCAACAATCCTTCTGTGATCCTACTGAAATTATATCATTTTAATCCATAATAATTCCCCTTAGAAAACTTAAAAGTTTCCCTCATAACCTTTTGAGGGCTTGACCATTCTCTGACAATGATTCAGCAAGAAAAAGCAACATAGAAGAGGTTCTCTTTTCTGCTGAATTTAAGCATTTATTATAATTTGTTGGACTCTACTGAAAGAGGAATCTGAGCAACAGTTTGGTTTTCCCCAATATATGCCAGCTGTGTGCGTCTAGGAATCCTGTTCTGTTTAACCATTTCTTGAAGTTCTTCTGACCTCCAAACTTGTTTAGATTTTGTCTTGGCTGCAGGATTCTCAAACCCCCACATTTGCAATGAGACATTTGTGTAAACTTTGGTTTGAGGAAACAAAGCTCCTCTTCTTTCCTGTGGGCTGAAGAACAGAGTTAATGATGAATCTGTCAAAAATGGAAAGTACCGTGTTTTTTTTGCTGTCTAAAAATTTAATTGAATCATGACTAGAGACCAAAAATTACATGTTGTGTTTTTTGCTTGAGTGGTCCCTTGAAATTAAGAACCAACTAACCTACTGTTTTATGAGTGGATGAAGCCATTACCTATATTCTACCATTATTATAAAATAGCAAATAATAATGAAGGTAGTACTTCTTTGATCTTCTGGTTTCCCTCACACCCGAAAGGCTTTTTCAACAGTGACAACTGAATTGAAAGGTTGAAAAGGCTTCAAGCAAATAATTAAGAGGTGGAAGTCAACAACAAAGCATATATATTGTTTTTTGCTCTTTAAATAAGGCATAATAAAGGATGTTGATATGGTCAGACACGTTTAAAAGGAACAGAACCTCTCAAAAGATCGGTGAAGAAAAAATAAAGAAAACCAACTGGCTTTTAATGGTCTTCATCTATTTTAGTTGTGTAAAAAATATAGGCATGTACCCAAGTTAGGGTTATCACAATACTAAAATCTTTAACTTGATACTGACACTATGAAAAATATTAGATACTTGATATCATTGCTGATACTATAGTAACATTTCTTGAAGACAAAGTTCTTTCTAGTCAAGAGTAAAATGTATGAATAAGTGTAATTACCATGTAATAATATTTTTATTTCCTTCATTAGGGCAAAACCAGTGAGATTGATTTTTGATAGATTATGAGACTAATTTCATTGATTAGGATAAACTTTCCTTTTCAGGATAGCAAATGATTACTCTTATATGCATAATAAGGTCAAATAATGCTAAATGGAATATATATTTTGTGTTTTCTACTTCCTGTCCATCCTAGATGTCAAAAAAATTGAAATTATTCATCTTGACTTGAGTAACAATGACAACATAAATGTGTAGGAGTAGTTCATGATAATAAAAACACAATAAAGGTTTCTACCATAAAAGGTCAAATATATTCACAGTTCAGCTTTAAAGGGTAAGTACCCCTTTCGCCAGACAAACTTTGAAAAATTAAGCCAAAAATGGGCAGAGCTGAGAATTAATGAGTGGAGTGGCCATGTTTGGGGTTGAGTGGCTGGGCTAAACTGCTAAGTTATTAACTTTGTTGCTATATTTAGCAACTTTTCAGACTCTATACAGACCTTTTTAAACAAGTAAATACATTTTTAAAGCGACTAGCGATAAATCTGGCGACTTTTACACAGTTATTCTACTCCGTGTCTTAGTTGGAAATAAATCACATGCGCAAAACTGAGAAACACTATTGCTCAGCGCTTGCTCTGTAACTCGTTACTGGAGGGAGGGGGGTGTCTGTGCCATCATAACCACAGGAAAATTTAACTGCTGTAGCCACTTTTCAACCTAGAGGGAAGCACTGAGAGAGTTTTAGAAAAAATATTTCATCAGAACTAAACAAATTTACAGAAAAATGCCAAAATTTGCACAGAAACAAAGAAAAACATTATCCCTAAAGATCAATTTTGACAATGTATATATATATATATATATATATATATATATATATATATATATATATATATATATATATATATATATATATATATATATATATATATATAATGTATTATATATATATTAAAAAAAGCAGTAGATTTCCAATCTCAGACATTTTCTAGAAAAACCCCCAGAAAATTTCTTAGTTTGAACATTTCTGAGATTATTCTAAAAAATTATGAGTTTTTTGGTGGAAATGTATTCCTTTTTTCTATCTACAATGGTCCTAATACACTGCTGCAGTGGATAAATGTTAACTTCATAGTAAGATAAAATTTTGTAATATCTGCAGATATGCTGATTAATTTCAGTGGATCACTTCTATTTTGCTTGAATCAGATAATAAGTTGGTTTTACATTTTACACGTCAATTTTTTTTTGCTCTACCACCACTTTTTCCCCCGCGATTATTTCAGACTATATTCATCAGAAATATTTCACTTACGTTTTGGGCTATTCCCTCAGCTTATGAATAAAACATTCATCTGTCTAAACGGTGCAGTTTTTAGAGTCTGAGGAAGAAGCTCATGTCAGGGAGATTTACTTCATTGCAGTTTGGGGAGCTGTAAACTTCTGAGGATTTAGTTTCCAAATGCTTTAGTTATCTCCACGCTACACACATCTAAAGAAAAATGCACTTTCACAGCTCTTTAACAAACAAATCTTCTCTCAAACTCCATTATGAAATTTTCAGAAAGGCTTCTTCACTTTATCTTATTCTTTGATGTGATTTATCAAGAGTTTTCAATATTTAAGTCAATATGACCAAGAAAAGTAAAGAAAGTTTTAATGCTAGCATTCTGTGCTAAGTTACACACACACAGTTTGTTCCCACTGTTTCTGCAAACATATGAATCTCACCTCAAGCTGTATTTCCAACTTAAACATTGTTGTTCTTAACTTTATATTATTTAAATCTATTTTCCTGCATAAATAGAAAATAGTTCCAAAGTCTTTAGTAGAGTTTAGTAATTGGTTGTATTTAAAAGTGGGTTTTATCAGGATAACTGGGAAATTGTTGATTTAGTTATATTGTTTTTTGTGAAATTCCTGGGAAGGACATGGTGATTAAAACCAAAGAGTTTCCATATGGTAGAATTTATTGATTATTCAATATTGTTAACCTTATTGATAGTATGCATAGAGATAAAAGTAACTACAATTTCATAAAATCAACTTAATGATATACCAAACTATACACAGTTTTTCTTTTTTTTTTTATGAATAGGCTGCCAGTGTTTATTTTGTAAATATTAATCTAGTCACACATTTTTGAGTAATTATTTATTTTTGATTGTTTTGTTTTGTTTTTTAATTGTGGCACCTCAAAATGTATTCTTTCCAGGTCTGGCCAACCCTAAAAATGAACATTTTTTGTATTCTCTTTCACGGTCTGAAAAACAAATCAAGAATATGTTCAAAAGAACATAATTTGAAAATAAAGCAATTCTTTAATTATTTAATACTATTTATTATTATTATTATTATTATTATTATTATTATTATTATTATTATTATTATTATTATTATTATTATTATTATTATTGTTCACATTTCTTGTATATATTCATCTCTGCTCTACAGCAGAGATGTTAATGTAAGGTTTTGGTTCTTTCTCTGTGTTAATTTAGGTTTCTGTGTCATTTTCAGCTGTTCTGTCTACCCCTTAATTGTCCCCTGCTGTCCCTCGTTTCCCCTGATTACCTTCCCTGTGTATTTATACCCACCTGTGTCTCTTATTCCCTGTCAGGTCCTTGTCTATGTCATTGTGTTTACCTCTGTAACCAGGTGCTACCAGTGTCTGAGCTCTTAGCCTTGCTGCTGACCTGGATTCTATTCTCTTGGTTTGGATTTTCATTAAAAATCATCATTATTGCACTATATTCTGCATCCTCACTTCTTCAGTCACAAATCATGACGGACAAAAATTAGCCTACTGTAAACACAATCACATTTATGCAATGCTGTACAATTTACAAACATAAAAATTACATGTTTTATTTTGAAAATAAAATTAAAAAAAAAACAGTTCACAAGGTTTTAAACCAAAATGGTTGAAAAACGGCTATAGACAAATCTAGAAATGATCAGTAAATAAGTTGTGTAGGAATCAAAAAGTAAAACTGAGTGTCCAAAAGTGAACTGTTATCTCCAGCTGTTCTGCTTTTTAAAACATGTGAAAAATAATTAAAGATGGGAAACAAAATAAATCTGTGAAAGCTCTTATCAGCAGGAAGGTTGGAGGGAAAAAGTCTTTGTCCTTTTTCTTTATCTTGATCTTATGCAACATCATCATAGTCTTCCTCATCTTCTCCAATATCGTCATAGTCCTCGGTGGAAGCAGTGGAGGCGTTGTCCCTCGCCTCATTGCTCTGATGAGGAGGGAACTCCTCCTCATCCTCCACCTTCACATAGTCCGACTGCTGCTCCATGCTCTCCTCGTACTCATCCTCATCGGCCAGATTTTCATAGCTCTGACCTAAAGAAAGATTACATTTTATATTTGGATCCAAAACGCAAAGAGGAGGGGGAAGAATCTCGGTTTCATCCTCCACTTTGACATAGTCCGGCAGTGGATCCACGCTCTCCTCGTAGTCATTCTCCTCAGCCAGGTTCTCGTAGCTCTGAGCGATTGAAACTCCAGAGTTTGTGTTTGGATGATTGCAGAGAAGATTTTCCTGCACCTTCACGCAGTTGAGCTTTGGGTCCAGGGCCTCCTCGTAGTCGTGGTCACTCTGGTCATCATGCTCACATTCCTCGGCCAGGTTCTCATAGCTTTGGGCGTCTGAAACAATAAACTTTCTTGTTAGGTAGTTTCTTATTACATGTGGAGAATTACAGAACACAAATCAACTTCGTTAGTTGATGTGTTATCTAAAGGTGACCAGCAGATTGTTTTAATAGTGACTTATAATGCTTCCTTGAACAGGTTTGGATCGGTCTATGGGTTAAACAAAACATGTTCATTACATTTGTTGCACAAAATCATTCTTAGATGATGAGATTTTAATCTGCTCAGTTCTGCCTACTTTGACCTGCTGCCTCCTTAACTCAATGTCTACACTTGCAAGAGAAAATGACTGAAAACAGATGTGCAATTGTACAACCATACATCTTTGAAAAGCAGAAGTGTTGCCTCCTGCACATCCAACAAGAATGCGGCAAGTGGCTTCTGGATGGTAAGTCAACAACAAAACACTTATCTTTTCCAGCAGCCATTGTACAGCGCCTATAGCGGTAAAACCAGCTGAATAAACATGCTGGAGCTCAGCTTTGGCTGCTAGATTATATATTTTTATTAATATATTAGAGACAAATGTGTCGCTGTAAGCAATAACAAATCATAGTGTTTATAAGTTCTTCTCATTCTTTAAACTCAGAGAATCCAGGAATGTAAATAAACTCTACATGTCTCATAATCTCATTTGAGTCTTTATGTCACATTCAAGCTTCCAGGAGAGTTGAGAACATAAATTGAAAGTTAATTTATTACAGATTACATTAAAGTTTTTTTTTTCTAGGTTTTAAATTAGCAAACATATTCATATAAGAATTACTCTGAAAGTATCTGCAGTGTTCAATTCAACATCTTTTAATTCACTTTGTTCTGTTCATTTTAGTCAACCTCACTGAAGCCCAGAAAATAAGCACAAAACTCTGATTTATAATGTCACTCACATTTGGGATTTTCAAATAACTGACATGGCCGTGTGGCTTGAATTAAAAGGAACTTGGCTTCAGAAGGCTTGACTGAAAGCGAATATGTGGCTTTCTCCTTCTGCATGGGATTCAAAGTTTATTGTCAAATAGGTCACCTGTCATATAGCGCCACTTTCTTTTTTCAGTTCCTACAAACAGTTTGTGCCACCGTCCAATTTCTGTCCGTAAAATGTACTGGTAGGAAAATGAGCTTTACCTGCTGTGAGAAACTGTGTCCGAGGGGGAAGAGGAGGTGTGTCAGTGACAGGTTGTGTCAGCTGATATTTGTTGCTCCTGAAAAGTTTTGAGAACAAAGAAATATTCAAGTTAATTTCTTTGAACCAACATTCTGAAAGAATGGTGCATTAGATGAGTGGAAAGCATGAAAATACAGTCAATATCCATGGGCTTTATCAGAAAAGCTGATGAAATAATCATGAACAATAAGTATGTTGTATTTGCATTAGAAGTTTGAGTAGTTTTGCTTAAGAACTAAAGTAGAACTCTCTTTGATAAGTTGGAGAAGTAGCCTCGTTGCCAACGCAAACCACAAAAACAATGTAGCATTTGCACAACTAGATATTTATGGCAGCTGCAGTGAAAAGCTCAAGCTTCCAGTGGTTTGTAGGGTGGCTCAGTAAAATCTATTTGTAAAGATGTTTCTTCCGTATTTAGATGCATAACATTTAGAGACCTATCTTTAACTTCTTGTAATGCTAAGTGTAGTTAACATGGTCTCATCCATTGACCAGTCCTTGTGCTTTTTCAGTTTGTACTTGGTGTGCAAAAACTTCCATTTGAATTCATGGCACATAAGACTTTCCAGTTTTGTAATGTTTTCTAACTTCAATGTGTTTATTGGGATTTTATATGATAAGCCAACTTCAACTAGTTTATAACTAGAAGAAAAAATAATCCACACTGTTTCAAAAATGTTTACAAATAAAAGTCTGGAAAATGTGCCATACATACGCTTTCAACTCCCCTTAATATTAGTTCCTAAATTAACAAGAATGAACAAAATGTGAATATAAATGAGTTCTCTCTAGTAATTAAAATAAACTAGAGGTCATGAACAAACATCGAAAAACTAAAAGTTCTGAATGGGGTCATAACTCAGCTTGTGGCTTGGCTACTGTTAATTTGTTGTTGTGCTTCACTAAAATTGCCTCAAGTTTCCCATCACCTCCTACAGACATGTTGTGTTGCTTAAGCTGCTGGGTCAATGGTTTACTTCAGAGGAGAATAAAACTCTGCTGCGTCAGAGCCTCACACACATCATTCCACCTAATACAGAATCATGTTGAGATTTGTCACCTGCCTGAAAAAATTTTTAATTTTCAGCAGTAAATAAATATTTTACTGGATCCAAATAACCCACATTATCAAGACAGGAAGATAATTTTTTAGCATTTTCATTGGAAAAATATTGTAGATCAACGTGTTTAAGTGTTTGACCAATCAGTTTCTGCTTATGGAAAACTTTTAGTTTTGTCTTGTTCTGATCCTGTCTGATCCTTACACTGATACTTTAAAAAAGCTGTTCCTGTTTTTAGGATGCCTCAAATCAGGATGTGATTTTGCTATTCAGAGAAACTAAGATCACACGTATGAGAAGACATTACTCGATTTTGACGTTAGGTCTTTCCTGGAGCTGTAAAATTCGGTGTTTGCCTCCTGGAAGAAAGAAGGAAAAATTATTTCAAGTTATTTAATGCTGTACAAATGTAAACAAATAACATTAATACAATTCATATCATGGTAGCAGACTGGAAGAGGCTGATATGTGTTATCTTCTCAAAAGTCCAAACATTAATCATCAAAATACACATTAGTACAACCACTACTATTTCAGTTATAAAGCACTTTTAAACAACATCTGCAACAAAATGCTGTAGCAATACATAAATAAACATTCAAAATATGGAAAGGACAAAAGTCGACAATAGAAACAATAAAACACTATAACCGAAGTAAGTGCAAAAGCCTCAATGTGTGTTAAAGAGCTTAAAAGGGACAAAAACACAATAAACACAAATTAAATGTTACACTGGAATAATAAGCGTTGTTTAAACAAACTGAAAGGTTTTCCTGTTTTCTTTTTTTATTCATGAAACATTTCATATTTTTTCTCAAAATGTACTAATATTATTCATAAAGCAGAGTCTTCTGTTGCATTTGTTTGCTCTGGGTTCATTTCTCCAAAGCGGAGCAAAGCCTGGCTTTGCTGCTGCTGCAGCAACGCCACAGGGATCATTAAAGTTTCATCTGAGCCGATCAAATCCACAGGGTGCTCTAATAATAGCATTTCATACAATTATAATAGGTTCTCTATGGAGTTGAAGACCTCAGAAGTATTTGTGACAGTAGTAATAATGTTTGGTTTTCCTTTTCCTGTTCAGGACTCTCACTTGTGACAGAAAAAGAGCAAGTTCTGGGTTTTCAAGTTAACTAAACACCCAGAGACTGTTTTGAGTGAAGAGGAAACTTTGCCCACTTCTTATTTTAAGGCCTTTATTTACCAGTAAATGGACAGGAAACCAGGAGGAGAGAGAACTGGCTCCAACCAACTGAGCCACCAGACTTTGTTCACTTCTTCCTGATTTTTTTCTGTAGCGGATTTTACAGCTTTACTATGTCATGGAAACAGTTTATAACATTCTAACATGCTAAAAAATGTTCAGGTTTTCTCATCTGATTGGTCTCAGAAGAAACATGCTTATGTTACAGATGGAAACAAATTTGTTGGAAATTCTGGTAAGAATGTTTAGAGCTAATTTAATAAATTAATCTTTTATTGTAGTCGCACGTTACAGCAAAAACACAAAATCTTACTGAAGAACTTTTGGTCTAGTTTCTACTATATCTTCATACACTTCAAATAAGACCAAAACTAACTTAGAAGTAACTTTTCATCGAGATGTAAGAGCTTGTTTTAAGTCAGTAATCCTTTAATATTGATTAAAAAGTTCTAACAAAATTGTCAGATTATTTCACTAATAAGACATTTTTCCCATGTTGTAAATGAAATAATTAAAACAAAAATTTAGTTTAATAAACTAAATTATAAGTTATTTGAAGTGCACTACGATATTTGCAGTAGAATCTGGACAAAAATACTTGGTAAGATTTTGTATTCAGATTAGCAATAAATTGCTTTATCAAAATAAAATTTCAGTTTGATATCATTTTTTTAGTTTTCTAGCAGATGCCTTCAAATTGTCTTTTAAAATATCCTCCTATTCTGAAATGTTAACATTCTTCTCATGAGGTTGGTGTGGAAAGAGAAACAGGCCCATATCCCCACACGTCCTCCACCATACTTTAGACACCATGTTCATCCTCTTTTATGATTTGTTGATTGGAAAAAGTCAAACATAGAGAAAGAATATTTATAAGGGAATATTTATTAAAAGTCAAGAACATAAAGGAGAAACAATGTAGGTGTTTGGACTTCCATCTGTTTCTCTTGTTTTAATCCTTTCTATTTAATAATTTAGATCTCTTTTTATTTCTCTCTGTGTTTCATTTCCTCGTTTATTATTATTTAAGTTCATTATCACTAGAACCAGGTTCCACAGAAGCTGATTTTTGCTAAAAAAAATAATATAATTGTTTGCTAAAACGGTTTAGTAGTGAAAAACAATTTATGGTAGGCTTTTGATGTTTTTTCAGCTTGTCTCATAACATCAACTTGTTTTCTGGGATCATAAAAAAAATATTTGGATGCACTATTTCTAATTTTACTTGTACAACACATTCAGATTTGTAAGCAAAAAGTAAAAAAAAAGAATGTGTAAAAATTATCAATCAAGAGTCAAGGGCTTTCAATTTAGACATAGTCAATTTAAACAAAAAAAATGACTCATTAAAGCTGATATCAAAGTAAATAAAAAGAAGCATTCTTCTAATCAGTGATTTTAGCCTTAGTAAGAGCATCGTGAAGAAAACTGTGGCTGCATTATTAGATGGCTTAATTTTTATCTGAAATAAACATCACAGAGTTTATAAGCCAAAAGCATCAAAATGAAAATAGAAGCAGAAGTGTCAACACAAACACAGAAACATTCAAGAAAGCCTTATTTTTATTTTTTTTATTATTATTATTCTTTTAAAGACTTGTAGGGAAAGAATGTAGGGAAATGAGGATGGATCATATTTTTATTCTCTATTTTGTCTATTTGCACAAGAAATAAAAAGAAGTTTAAACTGCTGAAGGCAGATCGAGGTTCAGCTGGACAATTTAATATATTTAATGATCTTATCTGATATTATAATAACTTTGTGAGGAAGTTATAAAGCAGAATGATGATTTTTGCTGTCCATCCTGCAGCTTTTTGACATGAAGCTGATTTTGCAAGCAGATGTGACAGTAATGATAAGAGGTTATGATGACACAATGTTTTAAGAATTTTATTTGCAAACACATGATATTTTATTGAAAAACCCAAATCTGATATGCCAGGTATCAAGTTCTGGACCAATGCTACCTGATGGTGGCTCTTTCTACTGAACCTCTGTTTTCCTTTAAATTTCAGGCCAACTTTTGATACAAGCTGTTAATTCTTCCCTGTTTTTTGTGGGGGGGCATTGGTATCACCAGTTCTGATTAAATGAATGCTCTAAAATTAGGATAAAGGATCATTTTGATCATGATGAATATAGTAAAAATTTTGTGTTTTATTGACAAAGGAAATATTTCAAATTATAAGCTAAAAATATAATTTTCATCTGATCACTGCAAACAGATCTAAATATTATGAAAAACTATATCCGCAACACTGTTTACTGCTAAATCCATGCACTTATTTGATTACAATGTGTTATTTTTACTATTTAGATCTTCACATTATGCAGGTTACTTCTTTCAATATTTTTTCTAAATGTACTTTTTTACTATTTTAATTCCTATTTTTGCATATTTTGGTCACAGAAACACACTCCTTTTGGTAAATAACATAGATAAAACTATCTGCAGCTCCCATAAGAAGAATAATGATATATTTTTTAAAATACGACTGAAGTAGAAGAGTGAGAACAGAGCCTGAGCTCTGGTCAAACACGGTCATATAAAGATGCATATCTGTTGAACTCTGGATTTACTTTCAGTTTGCAATGTGTGAAATTTTGCTTTGCAAAACTGCAACAACTGAAACCAAAAATGTTCCTTATAAATTAAGCTCACCATTAAAGAAGCAGAACAACGGAGGTCAGACCATGAGTGAAGTCAAGTTAGAGTTACTCAGTAAACCCAAAACTCCAAACTTGCTTCATAATAAGATGTAACAAAAACTAAACAAGAATGAAACCACTGAAATATTTTGTAATAATTATGTAATAATTGGTTGTTGCACCATGGACATTAACAAAGAGGGAAGAAGATCTAAAGGAGTTTAAATTTGGCGGCGTGAGAACAAAAACGTCTCTTTGGATTGAAAAAGTTGCAGAACTGAGTTTTAGATCCATAAATCAGACTGATCACAGTTGACGTTTACATATGAGGCCCACATGGGTGTGAGGATTTGTTTTTTTTCTGTGTGTTTATTTAGGTTTCTGTGTTCTGTTGAGTCTCTGTGTTGTCCTGTCTGCCCCTTGACTGAGTCTTCCTGTTCCTTGTTTTCCCTGATTGTCTCCCTGTGTATTTAAACCCACCTGTGTTCCTTGTTCTTTGTCGGGTCCTCATTTTGTCCACCATCTAGTCTGTCTCCTGTCTATTGTCATACCAGTTGCTACCAGTATGAGAATTGTTGCTGTCGCTCGCCTGTGCTGCCTGGATTAAGTACCAGT